TGAAATTATGTTTAATATTGTTTCATATAGAACTCATATTTCCCTCCTTGCAGTTATTCTTTTATTTTCATTTATTTCACTATTTTTCTTCCATGTCTTTTTCCAAAATCCACTTTTACACTACTAAAAGCTGTACACCTCTCATCAACCTTGTATCGTTCACTACATCTCTCAAGCTTTCATTACACATAATCAAATAAATCAAATATATAGATGTATGCTTAACCCATGGATTCAAAATAGATTTTTTAAAAAGCAGATGATCCCCAAAGAATTTGAATGCTCATTCATTCTTGCTTCAAATATCACTTTTTCTTTACCCTCTCATCTTATTCCCACCATCCATTCATTAACGCCTATCAGAGACACTCTTTTCTCATTATCACATTCATTCATAATATAATACATAATTTCATCACCACCACCCACATACCAAAATCAAACCTGATACTAGTAAATGAATTTACACCAGTACAGATTGCACTATAGTTGGAGTGGAAAACCTAAAAGTCAGTGTAAACATCAGGTACTATGGATCTGATCTGGAGAGCATTTTTCTATGTATTATCTATTGTGGCCCTAGAACAAAGAAGAAATAAACAATTATTCTAATTCTTTGACCAGAATATTGAGGAATCCAATTTTTGTTAAATTAGTGAAATAAGTATCTGATGGAATAAATTCCATAATCATATATTCTATTTTCCCAAAATAGGCCCTAACAAAATCTAATAGAATTTGCAAACACCTTATATTTCATAATTTACTGCAATCCAGATCTACTGGGATTGTAATGTAATTTCAATTCAGATAGAAGGCGCCATGTTAAAGAAAGCTGATTTAAATTATCAACCTTATAAATTCCTTCTGGATTTAGCCTGCCAGATAGTTCTGGGAAGCCAAAGCAATCTGATATCAGTTTTAAATTTGAGATTATTTGACTGATGCTGCATTCTTACACAGATTGTAAAGATCAAATCCCATTAATATATTGGGATTTATTTTCGAGTCCGTATGCTTAATATATGCAGAACAAATAACATAAAACTGTGAGTCATTATTTGTTAGTATATATACTATGAAATAAATGTGATTTACATAATCTTAGTTCCCATTCTCACAAGGCAATTGTCTTTGCTCATTACTCTGCTGGCTAAAAATTCAGTTTGTTTTCATTTTCTCCAACTTCTTTGCTTCTATGTTCCTAATGAGTATGACTGTGGTAATACTTGAAGAACAGAAGATTTCTATTTGCTTTCTTGGAAGCTCTGTTAAAGGCTCCCAGTGTTTTCATTATTACAGAAATGCAACAGAGATGAAGATCACAAAGTATCTTTTCAGAATACTAAAAAAAGAGAACAAGAAAAAAAAACTTTGGCAAGTACCCCACAGATCACATCCAAAGTTTCAGAAACTGCCAATCTAGGGTGTGCCCAGTATCTATATACAGCTGTTCTTGTTTTGTTGTGCCCAGTAACTTTAGATGGGTTTTTACTTCTTTTGATCCAGAAAGCTCCTCCTTCTGCCATCTGAAATGTGTAATTCTTATTAGGACCTCACTCTTTAGGACTTGGCAGCTGAGTGAACTATTTTCTGGCTGAGCCAGCTGAGAGCAAATCCAGGCTAATCTGCTGCCAAAGTAAAGTAGCAAAGAGTTCACTGCTCCAAGGTACCTTCTCCTCAAATTCACCTGGTCCGATGAGCAATTTGTCCCATCCCAAGCAGTCAAATGACAATAAATTCGGCAACAAAAAATATGCTTCCCACAATTATCTGTCTAAAGCTACTCCTTTATTCAGATGTCAAAGAAAGCCTTCTTTTTCTACCCAAGGAACAGTGGTGGATTGCTCCCGTTTCGGTCCGGTTCTATAGAACTAGTAGTAAAACCGGCAGGAGGCTCCGCCCACCCGCCATATCATCATGGATGATCTGCGCATGTGCAGAAGCGTGTGTGTGGTCCTGTTGCAAACCGGTAGTAAAGGTAAGTAGAACCCACCCCTGCCAAGGAATCATTATCCCCAGTCCCCACTTTGGCTATCCTTAGGAAGAAGGAAAAGAGGATATGTTGTATAGTGAGTGGGTTGTTCTTTAGATAGCTGAGCCAGGATTTACTACATTTTATCCACTCTAGAAGGGAGGTAATGGTGGGCATATAGTTTACACTTACACACAACAGATCATCTTATCCTTGGATGTCCCAGAGTTCTGCCTGTGATTAGTTTCTGGCCTGTAGTATGAAACTTGCATGTTGGCTGGAGAGAAGATGGAACCTATGGTCCAAAGCTTGTGGAAGGAACTGGTGGGGAAAACTAAATTATATTATGGGAAAATCAGTTTGTCATTAAAAGTCATTGTGCTTTTGAAATTATTTCCATGAAGTGCTAATTCATTTCCTCAAGATAAAGTTCTGAGATGTTTGATCTTTTTAGATGTTGTAATGAGATAATGAACAGTAAGCTTTGGGGTTGATTTGTGATTAATGTGGGGTCTGCAATGACTTCATTTTACTATGTTTGCATCAAAAATGAAATATTTTCCAGTAGAGGCATGTGTGACAAAATTAAAAGATTTGCAACCTTTATGTAACTTGCTTTGTGCTCCAGAGGAAAAAAATATTTCTGCTTCAGCCAGTTTGGGCTCAATCTCTCACCTAAAAGTGTGTGGGAATCTGCTGTATACTGCCCCTGTATTTAGAATTCAAGGATGGTCAAGCTGTAATCCTCCTTACTCACAACCTTCCAATCCAGTAGTATGCTGGTAAATATTTAACACTTGGTTCAATTGGCATGGCCGTTGACACACTTGCCACAGAATTGATTGGTGTACCAGGTATGGTAGGTTAGCTCCACTTTCAGTCACACAAAATTCCCAAAAATTTAACAAGTGGCTTTCACATGCTGGTACAAGTTGAGTCGGAAATACCACTGCTCCTATCTCCTCGTGATTTGTTTGCCTCCATTGTCAACCAGTAGTATAAGTGGGTTGAAGACTGTCTAATGACAGCCTCTGGTTTAAATCTACCAATCCTCATCCACTGTGTTTCTATAATTCTCAGGCAAGCAGCTACTTCACAATCTAAGCAATCTCCCTCTAAAGTAAGCATTTAATAGAAATGAAGACAGCTGCAAAAGATGGTGGGGAGTGGTGGAAAAAATTGGGGCACTCAGAAGCATCCTCCTTAATTTAAGTAAGGAGATGGAGCATTTATTTAGCATAATTGAGGACACCAGTCATAGTAATGTTACGTTTATTAATTAAATGGTTAGGAAAAGCTCAGCCATTGAATAGAGCGGGACTGATGTTGAAAGGCAAAGAATATTGGGGAAATGAAGGAAGATAGAGCTGTCTATGAGAGCCTGCTGCCCCCACATGTCTTGGAAGATATTATGGCATTGTGTTGCCAGTGCTGGAAGTCAAGAGACCTGCCAATGTCAGGTTCTTTGCATGAAAGGTAAGAGTGTTATATTTTGTTTTGCTTCTGGCAGTAAAAATGTCTTGGGTTATCTGCAGCTGGGAACCAGACATTTTAGCCATTTGACTGCACGTTGCTCAGAGATCCTTCATTTATGGCAACACGAGATGAGCCCGACTTCTAGTGACTTTGTGGCCCTGCTGTTAGTTTGATAAGAGGATTGATGTGGTTTGCCATATAAGCTTCTCCCTGATTTTTTAAACTTCCTGGCTAGCCTATAGCCTATAGGCCCAGTCTCCTGTTAGACTGCTACCCAGATTAGCTCCCCAGCCCAGACAGGTGCTCCATCTGTTGAAGCAGTCTTCCTTTATGTGTACAGATTATATATTACTATTATATCTAATTTGTATTCTAGGCCATTTAAAGTAGCAACAGTCAAATAAAATGCAGGTATTCAAAATGAGATAATAGAAATTATTACTGGAATATTTTCTCAAAAATCTTGGCTTAAAAGAAAGCCTTCTTTCCAGAAAGGGAAAATGATAGTTGGATGATAAATACAGTTTAGAGAAATTGCATTTCAAAGACTGCCTATGCCATCTTTTTTGTTGCTCCTCCTCTATAACATCACTGCTGAGTTTTCTTTGGTCTCACTGTCCCAAATGCATCCTCTCTCTCCCTATCAAAACCGACCACTGCAGTAATATCACACTACCCCAACAATTAAACAAAACCTCCAGGAACAAGTGCAGTATACCATCACAGGAAGATGGTCATTAAGTAAATTTAGGGATAGGCTAGCATTCGGTTGTTGTTTATCCACTTTTAGAAGCTCATTGCTAGGGGGATGGGGAAGAGCACCTATTTCAACTTTGGAAGAGCCATAACAAGTAGTTTTGACCACAGTTGGCTTGGTTGATTGGTTTAGGACAGGGTCAGCAACCTTAAACACTCAAAGAGTCACAAAGGTCCTAACCAGAAGCCCATGTTTAATCCTGGAGCTGACTGGAAGTCCGGCTCCCCCATCATAGTCTCCTCCTAGCACGGAGTCCTTTTTCCTCTACCGACTGGAAGTCGTTCCCCCACTATAGTCTCCTCCTAGTGTGGCATCCTTTTTCCTCTACCTGTCCTAACCAAAAGCCCTATCAATCAGCAACAGGGAGCAGCAGCAGAGGGATGAAAGAGCCACATGCGGCTCCAGAGCCGCGGGTTGCTGACCCCTGGTTTAGGATAAGAGAGCTGTTGAAGCACAAGACCATATCCCAGATCCTGAGAATTAAAACATCCCTCAGTATTGAGCCCGATTACCCAGGCGCAGCTTTTCCTTCGAGAGCGCCACCTAGCCTCCGGCTCTAGTAGCTATGGTTTGCCCCCAGCAGCACGCAAGGAAAGGGGTGTGTAGGTCGTGTGCCTGGAGAACGAACTCTCTTAAGAAGCAGCCCGAAGGTGTTTTAGTTTTGAGCTCCGGGGTTAGCAAAATACGCGCACGAAGTCCAAAGCAACCCGCTCGGCCGAGCCAAGGGCCAGATCCAAAACCGGACTTGCTCGAGAGCTATGAAAAATCACTGCAGAAACGGCCGCGATTGCATTGGGCAGGCAGGAGAGACGGGAAACCTCCGGCTTCGCTCGCAGGCTCTTCCCACTCTTCCTCCGCCCTCCCGCATGTGGCAAGGGCCTCTGCTCCTCTCCAAGACGAGGGGGGTCCTCCTCTCCTCTTCAGCTCCTTCTCTCCGGCCGCTGCTTCCAGGCGTTGCCGGATGACGGACAGCTGAGGATCCGAGGCGGCGGGAGCTCTGCTACTTCCTACTACTTACTTACGCGGGGAAAGCGATCCGGAGCGCTTCTTCACTCTTTTCCTTTCCTTCTTTCTTTCCGCGGTTGGAGAGGAGTTGATTTTCCCCTCCCCTCCCCCATTTCTCTGTAGTCGTTGCAAAGAGAAAGGAAAAAAAAAACCCAAACAAAAACAGCGAATCTAGAGGCGTCGGGAGTGGGATCTCGCGCGTGGCCCTGCCTCCAGGAACCGGGGGTGGGGGTGGGGGTGGTTAGGGGCTCGTTCGGTTGAGCCTTCGGATTCCTCCAGCTTTTCTGCCCCCCTCGTCGTCGCACACGTACGAGAAGGCTGGCTTTCCATCAATATCACAGCCACGCGCTTCGTGGAAGTGAGGGGGGGGGATCCTCCTCTCTTCCGAGAAGGGGGGAAAAAAAAAGAGTTTCCCCCCCTCCCCCCTCTGTGAGCGGACTGTGGTCGGCGCTAGGTGGTGGTGGAGCAGCAAAAGGAGAACTTCGGGCGGATCTGCCGTGTGGAAAAGATCGGCTTTCCTTGCAAAACTTTGTTTTAAGAGCTGCCTCTCCCTCGCCTTCCGCCGATCGCAGTTTCTGCTCCACTGTGTAAAAGGAAGCGCAGCTACGGCATCCTCCTCTCGAGACGCGGCCCATTCCGCCCTCCAGGGTAAGGGGATTTTCTAAAATATCCTTTATTAATTTAAGAACGTTTAAACCGCCGCCGCAGGAGAAACAGAAAACTGGGGGTCCGTCTTGGTTGAATAGCTGACGTTCCTCCCTCTGCACCACCAACTCTCCTCCTGATTCCTTGAGGATTTCTAAACCGGGGCGGGGTGGAAGGAAGCTCCTGTTAGCTCTATCTAGACATGCTTTTATTTATTATAATAATGCACCGCTTCTGAGAGATGAAATGTGCCTGCCTAATGGGAAGTTTCATTTCGAACGAAGGCTTTCCCATCAAGTGTATCTCTAAAGCCAATATATGTTTATCCTGCTTCTTTTTATATTTTATCCTCCCCAAACCTATGAAGTTAGAGGACTGCTTTGACCAATACTTTATATGGAAAAACAGGCTACTTACGCCCTCTTCCATTGACCTCATCAATTTGAACTTGCTATTGGGGGGGAGGGGAGGGGAGGAAACGGGCAGAGGGACCGTGGGAATGGGGGTCACTAAAGCACTGTTGCTGTCTGATTTCTTTCTCCAGATACCCAGATTGTGAGAAGGCGCTCCCATTTCCTCCAGTCGTGATGCTAATCCGAAAAGTCTTGCTCTTCCTTCAGTGCTGCTGGCCTTCTTTGCTGCTTCACTGGATGCTCCATCCTATGTGGGGCTTCATTCAGGTAACGGAAGAATTGGTTTCTCCCCCCCCCACCCTCTTTCCCTTGCCAGGGTGCATTTCTCAGGCTTAGTCATTGACTGAGTTCCCAATGCAGCCTCAACTTCTGCAGAAAAGTACTTCGCAAACTGCTAATGAAATTACTTTGGCAGCAAAATATCTGAATTGTTTCGGAAGGAAGGTGCAAAAGTGTCTGTTGATAGTCAGTAAATTCAGTTATTTCCATTCTGCAGGTAGGACTAATAAGGGTAGAGAGAACCCCAGGACAGCTGTTACATGATTTTAGCAATGTTGTGTTATTGTAGTTTCGTCCACAGATCCCTTGCTTTCAACTCTTTTTTAAATTGCACCATTGGCATCAGGCTGTTAATTTTAGAGGTGTCACAAGTTTCATGTTTGTCAGTACAACTGAATGTGGCTATTACTTTGAAAGCCGTAGGGTTTGGAGATAACTATAAAAGGAGAAACACTTTCTCAAAATCATCGTTGATTGGGTTCAGAATATTTGATGTTGAAATGCTTGGTGTTTTTATTAGTTTGATTGTTAGTTCTCAAGTGATTTGTTCCACATATCTTCCATCACTGCACTTAAGACTTTGTGACTTAATATGTCAGAGAAAGTAGGATTTTGAATACTAGTTTTGATGCTACAAACAAGTGTCTAAACCTAAGATAAGATTCTCAGTCTTGTACTTTCAGAGAAGGATCTGCTCCTTTGAGGAGCAGATTTGCAACTATTGCAGCAAGCTTGGATAATGTGACTGAGCACAGATGAGAGTATCCTGTAGCTACTTTCACATATTTCTATTCTGGAATTTGCACCCCTCTCCTTCCAGTAACACTGTTGTTTGGACTGTGGTGTTGGTAGTGGAAGCACTGGAAATCAGTCTAGTATGTGTCCTTGGCAGTGAAGATAGCTGTACTTTCTCTCTGCTAACTTGTTCCTTGGTGTCTTAAATTGCCCTTCTATTTGCTGCTTTGCATTTGAATGGGAAAGATCAATGTTAAAGTTTCAGGTTTGCCACAGTCATATGTAATTTGGTTTTGTTGATTATAATCCAATTTGTTTTCATATAAAGAGCAATGAGGAATGCATATGTACATCCCATTTTTGCACAGCAGTTCAAGAGAGCATGTGCAGTGATCCCTCCTCCTATTTATCCCCACACAGCAGCCCATAGATAGATTGAGTTGAGAGAGGGCACCTAACCCAAAGATGCCTAGTGAATTTCTGTGGCTGAAGTTGGTTGCCGCCTGGGTCTTCCTGCTCCTAATCTAAACACTCTTTTAGGCTAAGGGGAATTCGTCTTAATTTAAAGGAAAAGTAATTAGTAATATGAATCCTAATTAGATTTATTCAGATGTAATTGTCATTGAGCCCAGTGACACTTTCAACTAAATATGATTAGGCTTGCTGCCTATGTGGAGTTAAAGTACCAATTGCGATTCTAGGCACACTTGTCTAAAAATAAGATGAATTGGATTAGTTTTATTTGCAAAGGATCGTATAAAGATATAAAGAGAAGGGAAGAGGGCTCAGGAAGAATGGAAATGATAATCAGACCTAGAACTGCCATCAGAAGAGATTTTCTAATATTTCAATTGAAGTTTTGAGTGAAGTGGTGGAGTTGCTTTTCGTGTTAGGGAAGTGTTTCTGAACAGAGTTTTAAGTCTGGAAAATTTCTGTGTTGATTCAGGTTATATTTTATTTGACCTAGAAAGTTCTAAATATTTTAAAGTTTGCAATGTTCAAAAAGAGAATATGGTTAGAAGCTTAACTTCTGATAAATTATATGAATCTCCTATCTAATCATTTTGGTATTTGGTCTTAACTAATCTGTATATTTAATAGCAAAATACTTAATAATTGAACTAAGATAAATTAGATGCTATATGTGGGTAGTGTTACTTAGGGAAGCTTCCATAACAAGAAAAATTTAACTAACTGTATCACACATCTTTTACAGTCCAATGATGCTGTTTTCAAATAAATATGTATCTATAAAGCCACTTCTGACATTCTCCCATTGATTTTAGGCTTTGGATATATAATTCTAATATATGTTGCATGGATCCATACATAGATAGTATTATATTGTCTTTATTTATGGACAGTGCTTGTACATTTGTTTTAAATTGTATTCCTGGATGTCCTTTACATTTTATGATAAATATTCATTGTTAATCCTCCATAGTACTATTTTTATTACATTATCCCAAATTTTCTAAACAAAATCCAAACCTCAAAAACTATAGCATTGGTTGCCTCACTGAAAAGGATGCAAGTTACAATATGCAAGGGATCCAAGTCTTTTCTAGCATATTTAAATGCTCAATGCTCTTGAGCTTAGTACCTATAAAATGCAGTTTGTTCATTTGGAGAAGGACTTCATCCTTGATTGTGTAGACAGGAAGAGGACTTTCTAAGACTTATGACAGTAGTGACAGTGGGTACAAACAAGGTTTTCCAAATAGCCTAGTTTTATTAGCATTTTGGCACAAGATCTGATGCAACTATGAATTGAACGCAGACTGAGTCAGCTTTGTCAGCTTTGTCTGGTTTCAATTTGCCATGCAGTTTGGCCTTGACATTTATATGTGGTGATGACTAGTGATCATTATAAATACATATAGGATAACAGCAAAGGCTGCTGTTATGCTGACAGTGTTTAATTCTTAATAACACCAGCAATATTAAAGTAGCTAGCTGTTCAGAAATGAATCTGTTAGTAAGTAGATACTAATAATCTATTTCAGGCAGCAGCAGTATAGCCCAATTAATTAGAGTTGATTCTTTGCTTATAATCTGGTTTGGTCTTGATGGGGTCACTTGATAACTTGAGTACTTAGAGGACATAGAAAACTAAGTTTTGCTCTTATAAATGTGGCAGACTGTACGTGTTAATATTTAAATTATTTGGTTTAACTTTCTCTCTGTTGGTCTTTAGATCTATCAGTTGTCCAACTGCTAAATAAGATTCTCACTTTGTTGCCTGTGATGCTTTAGAATCTGGGTAGCTAAATTATCTTACATAATTGAAAACTGGGCATGTTTACAAAGCAAATATAATTATAAGAAAATAACTGCTTTTTTAAACCAACTACCCTTCAATCAATCATTAAAACTTACATAAGCAACTGTTATATAAGCTTTGTAGGTAATACACATTATACAAAATAATAATATATTGAATTAGGTAGTAAAAGCAAAGCATTTTGAAGTACAAAATACGGGACAGTATCTATTTTTATTTGCTTTTGTGCTTCTCAAAGTACACATGGAGATGTATATTTTTCTTGTTATCAAGAAAACTGGTGAAATGTCTGTATCAACAGGAGTCAAACTCGGCTCACAGGACCCTTTAGTGTTATGCAAAAATATTAATGGAATAACTTTAATGGGAATATATACATGGGCTTGCCTTTATATTATGCCTGGAAGACAAGTGTTTGCATTAGATTTGTGAAATGTTGTGATTTTATCAGCATAAGCAATTTTTTTATTCATATTAGATTATCAAAATAAAATTAACCACCATACAACATGAGTTTGTGAACTAGATTCCTGTAGAATCTAAATGACGGATTATCCCACCAGAGGTTAAAAAAAAATGCTATAGTACTATCTTTCAGATCAGCGCTATATAGAATTGTGCGATATTCTTGATGTTCCACTTGAATAAGATACACTTTGATTAAAAAGAGAGTCAAGGACTGAATGCTGGCTCTACCCTTTCTATGGTGAATCTCCAAAAGATTCCTGTTCCCTTTTGCTGAATGCTAGGAGCCACCATGCTTTATAAAATTGAAAATATCTATATATTTTAAATTTTAACTGAGCATGTGTTGCTTCTCCTTCCCTTGTTTGCTGCTCTATACTGCTGCTCTTTTGATGCAAACTTCATAATCAAGAACATATTTGTTATTCGGCAAATTAAAAACATTAGAAATATTAAACATTTTAAAATATGATATCCCCACAGTTAGTGACAAATAAATACGGTATTTCCTGTTCGTTCATATCAGTTGAAAATTCATTTAAGACTATCAGCAGGGAAAACCTGCAGTATATAATTTCTGTTATAGATACAATAATATGAAAAGAACAACAGGGGGCAGAGAATGAGTTTCATGCTTCATTTTTAGGTAAAATGTAGCTCCATTGCCTTGGATTTGTAAGAAGGCATAACAGAGAATTTGAATCAGCGCTAAGTTTGATGAGGTCTTGGACAAGATGCATTGGTAGACTCTTCCAATGCTACATAGCAAAACCTAACAGATAGAAATCAGTAGTGATAAGTAGTCATGTAATGGGTGATGGTGAAGATGGATGATGGTATTCCGTAATTCAGATTTGCCTAAATTCTGTGGTGCTGTTACCATTTCAGTCTTATAGATGACTGAATTGGAGTAGGCAATTCAATACTTTTCAGTGCTGGTACATTCCTACAAAAATGGGCTACAATAGACATCAATTATGGAGACTGGGAGCAATGATTCAAAAGATACAAAAGCAGGAGTTCATCTTCCCTACCCACCATTAAACTATATCATAAATTTACACTGATGAATTTGGATCATGTACTGGGCCTATGCTATTGCAGAGAGGCCGAAAGCATCCACTTCCATTAAAAAAACACACTTCCTTGTTACTTTGAAATCCATTGAGCTTCTCAAATTTCCCTTGTAGTCACAAGAAGTATGGAAGAAACGTTCCTTTTTATTTATAATAACCATAATATATCAATTGACTCCAGACTGTCTCTTCTGGCCAAATGTATCTCTCGTGTCACATATTTGGCCGGTCAAGAAGGGCTGCAAGAGTCCCTACCTTTTATGATTCAAAGAGATGGTGCCCAAGACCGGGATGTGCTTTTTGGTGGCAAACCCTGTGTTTTGGAACACCCTTCTCCTGAGAAATACCTATCTCCTTGTTGATGTGCTGTAAAGCTCCAAAGGCTATCTTGATCTGAACTGTCTTGGCTATTTTGATAAGAGTTTTTA